TATAATCATGGCAGTATATAACAATTGTAAACATTTTTAAATGGAAACCGGCAAAATGAAAAGCACTGTCTTCTAGGAAATCAAGGCAAAATAACACAGCATTGCAATTTAACAGATCTTTTATAGTTAAACAAAATATTTACACACATGCAAGTGATTAAGAGGTATGTATTATTGCAAAACTAACCTTTTGCTAAGGATCTTTTAATTCGACAATTCTATTTTACCTAAATCTAGAAACAATCCCTTCTTCTTAAATTCAGACATAAAAGTAAAGAAAATAAAAAGTTTCAAATTAATTTTAATTCTTAGACAAGCACTTTTAGGCACAGGAACATTAGATTAAATATAATAAACACTCCAAATATCCCAACTGCATACAATAGAATATATTCTTTCTATTAAATTATACCCATTGCAGATAATACAACTATTTCTGAGAATTATTAGATGGATGGTGGAGTACTATCTACAATTGGCAAGCAGATCCAACCTAACTCAGAAGAACTTCCTTTTGAGTAAACATATATTGGCTTTGCTGAAGCATTTACCCCAATGTGATAAATATTTCAAAAATGCATGAAGAACGAGATAAATTAATAGAAGTATCACAATCTAAAGAAACCAAAGTCATCCTTTTGTAAGGATGAACACAACACAACATAATTTTATGTTATCATGTTTTAGTTCAGAAAAGACTAGGACAGGCACTGGTACAATTATGGGGAACCAGAGCTTTCAGTAATTTAGCTAAAATGCAAGTCCATCTTCTTCTGCAAAAATCTTGCAGTCAATTATCAAATCTAAGGCTAGTAGCACTTTTGAAAAAGAGCTAGTTTGTTTCTAATCATGGGTTTAAGTCAGATTTAAGAGCAAACCTACTTACATACATTTTTATTTCAGAAAAAAAGAGAAAGGCCAAACTGAATTTTAATAATCATACACAAAGAAATACAAGCACAAAATTTAAGCACAAAAGAAGCATTGTGTCTTCTTGTCTTTTACATATGCACACTGGAACTGCAATTCTTGGTTCACCTTTTAACGTTAAGTGGATTAAAAGTAAGATTAGCAAACTGTCAAAAAGCATGTTAAATGATAGTGCCTGGTGGTTAAATTCTGATGTTTGTAAGACTCTGTTGGTGGCCATCTTGGAGTGAGGGGTTTTGATATAAATGAGGGGAGTGAAGGCAGCAGATGGAGGAGGGGTCCTTGCTGCATGCACAGAAGGCAGCAATGTAAGAGATCATAATCTCCTGAAGAAAAAAAATATCACCCCACAGCAAAGCAAGTATTAAAAATATCTAGCAAAGCATACTAAACTAAATAAAAATATATTTGTCAATTTGTACGGTTTTCTCTTTTATTGACGCCCTCAATAATCTGTGTAGATTTTAAGTCAGGATAATACTTTTGGGATACAAAATATGTCATTCTCACAGAGATGCCAATTGCCTTTCCTAAAAAGGTTAGGCAGAAAACATAAATGTGATTTTCCACTTAATTATAATGGCTGCCAGTTTTGTTCTAAGCCTGCCATACTGCGTCCCATATATGTGAATTCTCAATTGTGCATAATTCAATCATGACTCATTCCAACAACAACCCCATACACACACAGTATTACAATTTTCTGCCCCATATACCAGGGATGACCAAGATGTGGCTTGCAGGCTGCATCAGGCCCTCACAGCCATTTTTGCAGAGGCCTTGCTCCTGCTGCCAAATTGGATGGCACAGAGAGTTCATGCTTTGTTTGCAAACAGAATAGTACTTCTGCAAGCCTCTCAGGAATGTTATTCTACTTGCAAACAAGGTGTCTTCTCTTTGTGCATTTTGTTTCCTTGAAAAATTGTCACTGTTTATGCTCATGCCCCCGCAACAAATTCAACAGCAATTTTAAAGATGGATTTTAAAGCGGATGACCACCAGTGTGTCTGAGGGGCAATGATGCTCCTTCAACTTCCAGACATTGCTCAACCTGTCACACAGTTATGATTTGCATTTTTCATGAACCACCTATATATTACATAGGAGCAATGTGTGTTTTTTTTAAAAAATAGACAACATTAGAGATTTATTACAAATATATACTGTCAAATACTGCCCCCTTAGATCAGACTCCTATTTTTCTGTTTGCTTAAATTGTTTATTGTTCATTTTGTGCACTTCCTTGAGGGCCTATAGCTGAAAAATGGCCTAAATTTGGATTTAAAAGGGTCAGGGTGGGCAAGACACTCCCTAGTTTAGGAGGAACTGGTTTAGGCCCTGTATCTGCCAATGGTAGTGCAGCTATATCTTCAACTCAAACATAAAAGTTCTAATAATATAAAACTTTCAAGTTATGAAGTTTTAATAGTGTAACTTATAAACTAACGATGCAGCATAATGAAAAATGAAGAATTGTATATCAAATAGCCACAGCTAAACACCATGTTTATTGTGTATAATATGAAAAGCATTGTGATTTTTAATACGACTTTACAATGAAACACAATGTACTTCTCTGTAGTGGAGCACATGTCAGTAATTTTTTTCTTGATTATAAATGAAATCTTTGGAAACTAGAATGTGTGATATTTCTGAAATAGTATGTCAGAGCTGAGCCAAGGTTTGAAAGCATTTAAAAGTTTGCTCAGTGTCAGAGCAATACGACAGAGGAACCAGTTGCCTAGAGAGCTGGTGGGCTCTCCCACACTAGAGACATTCAAAAAGCCATCTGAGTGGGATGGTATAAACTGGTGTTGTGCAACAGCAGGGGGTTGGACCCGCCTGATGGCCTTCACGGCCCCTTCCAACTCTACCATTTTATGATTCTTTGAAAGATGCTGTTATAATTTTTTATAGGACATGAATTTGCTGAAAATAACATGCAATGTTTTCTTTAACTCATGTTGACTGAAACCTAGATTGCTATAAAATAAAGCCCTAACTCACTGAACCAATGCACGGTAGAAATAAGTGAAGAACCAATTAAAATATTGAAACTTTCACTCTTCTAATTGTATTATACAATTTTTCATTCTGGCAGTGCATTTGATATAGAAAAAGTGTGCTTGACATAATGACATAAGCTTTTCCAGACAGCTAAAATTTCAAGTCTTGCAAACATAAGCAATACCTCAAACATAAGCAATGCCTAAAAGCAATCTATAACCATCAGCTACATTGTTTATACAAGATTTTAAGTGCAATAGCTGCAAGAAATCAATAGATGGCACTCCATATCTTATTAAAAGGACAAAATGACTAAAATCTCCAAAAGTGACAAATATTATGTTCCCTTGATCTGAACAAGTATTCACAACGATTAATTAGGGACATTTTGCTTATGCATGAGAAATTAACTGCACTTTTTATATAACCCTTTGACAAACATGCATAATAAGTGGGATTAAATGATCATCTACATTGTATATATTTGTACGATATACAAAATTTCTGTTTACACATATTTGATATATACTTCATATTCTCAGTTTATTAAGAGATATTAAAACTGGGTTAAACCAAACTTTAAAGACAAGTGTGGAATAAACTGCTTCTATATTTCAGTATAAACAAGAGCAAACAGAAATGATAGTATTTTGAGTGACTGAAGCAAAGTAGCATTCAGTATTTATTCCTCTGGCTTTGTTATATTAGTGCATGTTGTAATGTTGTAACCTATTATATTGTTTCAAATTGTTTGTTAAATTCTCATCAGATTTTTTAAAATAGCAATTCAGAAAGGGCACTTAACTTTTAGGAAATTAAGGTAACAGCTTTTAGAATAAGCCATTTCACATGACTTTAATAATTAATATAGCAGTGAAATCAATATTGAAATCCACACATAAAATAGTGTAATGCTGTATGAAGGACCAATGCATTATGTTCATGAGCATGTGTGCACATGTACGCATTTGTGTATGTGAAACATCTTTAAAAGCTTTTCTAAGATCTGACGTTGCTCCAACCCTGTTCAAACTCCTTTTCCAGAAACCAATCAGCTGGACATGAGAATAAATACAAATGATCTGAAATATTGATCCAAGTCATTTTCCTATATTAACTCTATTTAAATAGAGATATTCTAATTGGCCAAATTGCATAGCATATTATATGTTCAGTTTATTCCTAATTACTTAAATGTGAGGAAATAAAAAGGGGTATTTCAGAAGTTTTTTATTAATAAACAGCAAGTAAGTAAAAATATTAGGTCAACTCCTTCTATGGAGAAAATGGGAAAGCCATATCATCTTAAAAATCCAATAGGAAAGTATTTGAAAGCAACTGTAAAATAGACTGTATTTCCTCACAGAAAAAAGGAGATAAAAACTCATTCTGAAAGACTGAAAAATCATTCAATTTTAAAGGAGAAACTTAGATTCCAATATTTATTTATAGTTATGTAGATTGTTAAGTCAAATGCAAACTTTGTTCTGCCAATCATTTAATATTGTCCTAAGCTAGCTAAAGTAAAGGTTCTGTGTTTCTCTAACTTTTACTTCTGCTGCCTAAGCAAAGTAGAGCTGGAAGAATGAAGATTACTTATTGAGCAACTTTGTTTATAAGTCAAGACTGATTTCCTCATTAATTACAACTCTGTAATTTTTGTGTTTCACTCTAGCAGAGTTATAGTGTCAAAGTCATGTCCCTTGGAAGATGTGAAGCAACATAACATTTCTTGGGAAGGACCCTGGAAAGTGTAATTGTACTGTTCAGTGCTTCCACGAAACATTATTATTACTACTACTTCTACCACCACCACCACCCACCTCTAATGAAGTTATAGGCAGCAAAGTGACACAATGCCATTATGAATGATTTCTATTACATAAATTGTTTCAATGAATGTTGGGGAAAGTATAGTATATTCTTGCATTCTTCAGTCCAAGCCCTTTCAGATATTTATTATCTTCCTTCACAAGATTCTTGTCTATATTTTATGGTCAGCAGTTCACAGAAGAGTAAATAGGCTGGGTGTAGAAGAAAATAAAAAAGGTGTTTTTACTTACTGTTAGGTGATACTGCCTCCATATTTCTGGGCAAGCCTGGAAAATAAAAATATTGATCAGCTGGGAGCATGAAACAAGGTGCTTTACAGCCTGTTGGTTTTGGCATAACACAGTATCCACCGGTGTCGGTCACAGGAAAATAAGAAGCTTAACTGAAAGGGTCTGCATTTCAGCTTCAAAAACCTGGCTAGACAGTTTAATTGAATTTTACACTGGTTTAACACACTCCCTGCCATTGTCAGAAAGCCAGTAACAGTTTTTTCTCTCCTTTTCTTTTGCTAAAGTTTAGAAGTTTCAAAGTCAAGTTTGTAAGGCTCCTAAAATGTAAATAAATCCCAGACATGCTCCAAAAGGACTGGTGCAACTCATTATTTTAGAATTTAATCTATAATACCATATTTTCATTCAAAATTCTTAAAACTATTTCTTCATTTTTGAATACACCTATAATCTAATCAAAATATAATCAATGCATGTAGTTAATCTTCCACAGGGTAATGTGGAACATAATGATATGCTTTACTGCATTCATTTTTACAGAAACTTCCTTTATTATTCTGATTGGTCTAGGCCCATACTGTACCTAACACATTATACTGCAAGAAAACAATGAAGATTTTTATTTTTGGTGATATGAAGTACAACTAGAAGAAAGCATTCAAATTACCATTTGGCATTATTTGTTTCTCAGTACAGTTTCCCTTCAATAACAGAAATATGTGAAGTTTTCAAATAGAACCACAGTCTTGCTGCTCTCTGGTTTATATCACATGATTGCATTATTTTAGCTGTCATAAATTTTCTTTACTATTAGCCTCTCTAATAGAAATAAAGCACCAACTTCTTGAACAATGTCAACTAGGTCAGTAAAAATAACAATATTAAAAGTGCAGATTAATTTGCTGTAGCTATCACAGTCCAAAATAATTTCAGAAGCCTCTGTTTAAAGCACTCCAGCACATGCATACATACAAAAACCCAATACTTTCTGTGATGGTGTCACTCTCCTTCTAACTCAAATGCAACTCTTTGTTTTTCAGACTTCACAGGGATCCCCTTTGAATGCCATTTTTTGCAGAAAGGTGGGGAAAGTTTATTTCAGTCTATTGGACTATTCCCCCCCACCACCACCCGTGTGTGTGTGATCTGTCTGTCTGTACATCCATCCATCTACCCCTTGGGGTACAGAAGATGATAATAATATCCCATATCTCTTCCCACTTCAAACTCTTTGAAAGAAAAGTTAAAGCATCTGCTCCATTTCCTAAAATTTTCAGTAATACAGTAGTTGAGAAGGGGTTTCCATTTCATAATAGAAAAATATTCCACCACCTACAAACACTAAATGGGTTTTGTTATATGCAACCTTTCTGCTGGCTTACCACAGAGGTCAGGAGGCAGAAATTTATCCATTAATTCTGAATAGCTACTGATCATCACAGTGTTCCCAGAATAATGTGGTTAAGAAATTGTTGTCACTGAGTTGTCTTATGCTAGAATGGCATTTTGCCAGAATATGACCTTTACTTACAGATCAGTTTAATAAAAAAGATTTGGCTCCAGGATAATAATTGCACCATTCTGGACATTAAGAGGTCAACCATGGTAGAATATTGTTGCTTTGAAATAAACCTGAATTTCCTGGTTTTTAAGCAAACGTTCATGAAGAAAGGGTCAAATCTTATATACTTTGTGTGCTCATTGTCTGTTTGTGGACACAATTATGTACAGATGAAAAACTGACTGTCATTATTTTGTGTACACGTGGGGATTCCATGCTAACACATTTTATACACATGGATGGTCACTAACAGCGCAATCCTATGTACATCTATTCAGCAGTAAGTCCAAGTGAGTTCAGTGGCATTTACCAACAGGTAAACAAGCACTGGATCACACTGAACTGAAACTGTAAACAAATTTAATGGGATCAACTTCCAAGCAAATTTGCTTAGGATTGTATACTCTCCTGAGCTTCCAAAAAGCTCAGGAGAGTATACAATACCCCCAAAGACATTTGACGACAGAAAAAATTATTTTAAAATGATCCTTAAACATTTGAGATGGCCGACTGATCCACTGCAACTGGTTCACAGCTAGGTTATAACTCTTCCATAGTACTAAATGGCAAAAATCCTAAATAACAATTGCTACAGGATACTGTCCCTAAAATTAAGTGGAATGACTTATTATGGAAGAGAGCACCACTAAATTCAGCAACAAGTGGGTCTATTGCTTTTATTTTTAAGTATTTAACTTCAAATTGCCCTAATTTCAGTTGGAAAAAAAAATCTGGGGGAACGCAGCTATATCTGAATAATATACCACACCAACATTTAGTTCTATGAATATGAAATGCCTTTTCTTCAAAGGAACCATTCTACCTTTTATAACAAATATGCTTCTAAATATATCTAGTATGGCCAGCATAGTTTTTATAAGTTCTGTACAATTGCCTCCCCACCCTATATATTTACCCTTCCCATAACTTGGACTGATA